GCACGACATCCCCTCTTTCCAACTCCTCAAAGCTGGAGAACCAATCCCTCCTAGGGCAAATATGATATGTAGCACCATAATCCATCATCCACTCCGTAGAGTCAGCGTAACAAACTGACGGTAATGCATAGCAATAATAGCCTGAAGAATCTGTATCTGAATTGTCGTCACTAGCCTTGACAACATTCACTTCCGAAGCTTGTACAGTTTTTTCTTTATTCTTCCCAGCTTTATCTTTCAACTTTGGGTAGTAGTTCTTTCAATGTCCTTCTTCTTTACAAAAACGACACTGGTTCCTACCAATACTCTTATGGCCACCTCTATTCCTCGATTTTGAGCGGTTGAACTGACGACGGTTTGAATCACGGCCTCGAACTGCTAGTGCATCTCCCGATGCCTTCTCGGAGGGTTCACCATCACTCTTCCTCAACAAATAATTCATCAAAGCTGAGGTCACCTCCTTATAGCTAATAATAGTTCTTCCATTAATCATAGTGAGAATGAATGTGCCGTAATCATCCTCGGGAAACGAACACAAAAGTAACATCGCATTGTCTTCATCCTCAACCATGATATCCACATTGGCCATATCTGAAAGTAGCTTCGTGAAATTTTTGACATGCTCCCTGATAGAAACTCCCCTCTTTATCTTGAATTGGTAAAATCTCTTCTTCAAGTGAAGCCGATTCTCAATGCTTTTAGTAAGATATTTTTCATTGAGTGTTTCCCACAATCTCTTCGCCGACGTCTCATTCATCACATCATAAATTAGATCTGGCGTCAAGCATGACCGAATAACTCCACAAGTCCTACTGTTCATCTTCTTCCAAATATTATCCTCCATATCTACAGGTTTCTCTTGTAACTTAAGAGTCTACTTCAAATTTTGTGCATCCAAGGCGTCCATCACTTGACACCTCCACAATCCAAAATTAATCTTATCGTCGAACTTCAGAACATTAATCTTAGTGTTATTGATGCTCAGACTTTGTATCGCCTTCGTAAGAGACGATCCTGATGTGCTTGTTTCACCCATGTTGTAGATCTAACTCTTCAAATAAGAATCCAATAGCGAATCCTTTGAACAAGCTCCCAAATCCAACCCGGAGCTCTGATACCACTTGTTGTGCGCAGCAAAAATTTCGGCAGCACTTCGGCAGCACAATAAGAGAGTCAGGTCGTAATAAGAATTCTCGTCTCACCAAGGAAACAAGAATATGAAGCGAATATCTCAACAAAGTGAGATATTGGCTCTTCCTCTCATCACTTCTAGGACTGACTTGTCGAGGGATCCTACAAGCTATTACAAATCACAAGACAGTAAGACAACTAATTTTTACGTGGTTCGGTAAATCGCCTACGTCCACGGGGCAAGGAGGGGGGAGATTTACTACTAGAGAAAGAGAATACAAATATGGTTTACAATCACACAATTAAACCCTCACACAAACTCTCAAATCTCTCACAAATATCTCCCTAAAAAAGATATATATATATATATATATAGGAGAGATAAAATAAATTGTTGGGTGGGCCGTCCGCTTGCTCTGCACACTTGATGGTGGGCTGCCTATTTTTACAATACGTACCTATGTGCATGCAGCTATATGTGTGTGTGTTTGTGTAACTAAGTGTAGGTGTCTTTATGGGCATTAATGCATGCGTGCATGTGCATGTTTGGCAAAGTATTGAAGTATGGATACAAGACCCAGACGGGCTTTTACCCCGATCTTTTTACAAAAGAATAAATTTAATATAACCCCCATCATAGTCGAACCTATTCTTACAATCAGATTCAGATTGTTTACACTATAAAAAAAGTAATAGATGGATTACTACTTAATCATAATCATTGATTATCTAGCGGATAGTTATAATTTTTTTCTTTAAGTGCAAATTAGGAATCAAGACTGCACAGAGGGTATGGTGAGCGTTAGTTTAGAATATATCACAATCATTCATTAGATAATCAACGCTTACAATTAAAAATAATAATCTCTCAACTACTTTTTTATAGTGAAGAGGATCCAAATTACTTATAATCAATTAAAAGTTGTTAACTAGAAAAGGACACCTTTTTTTTATTAAAGCACAAGATAAAAAAAAGGAAGTTTTTTTTAGATATTTCTCCCTGAAATCATCCATATTTTGATATAACTCCCTCAAATCATCAAATAGCTATCGCATCACCAAAATCAAATAAGTTGGTTGAAATAGCACTCTCTACTAGTATTGCCATTCAAAGGCTCTAACTAGAATTGAGTTACGGGTAGCTAGTGTTGTGCAATTTTAATTTTGCCCATGGGAGGCAAAATACATCAACTTGCATTGCTTAAAAAGCTATAAACTTTGACAAACAACTAACATTTTGTATAATTTCAAAACCCTAATACAACCAAAAGGATCTTCATGATCAAGAATAACACCTCATTCAACTTCTTGCCCAACAAATTGAATTCTTTTAACATTTTCACCATTAAACGTTTGTTGTCATCAACCTAAGCAGAATACCCACAACCTTTGAATCTTGAATTCCTATATTATGGATAAACATAGATCCGGAGTCCTTTATTCTCCCAATATTTCTTGCTGGTCCTAATCTCGCACTACAACCCACAAAAAGTTATTTATAGTAGCCTAACACCACCATTTTCATTAGAAGAGGAATTTGAAATTGAAAAACTCTATATATAGCAGGCCAGAAGACAATATAGGAGAGACTTTGTGAAATGAAGAACGGATGAGCTTGGAGGTTCTTCAACGTCTTTTATAGAGTTAAAAAAGAAGAGTCATTGATGCCGAGGAGATTACCATTGTTAAGGAAGAGGTTAATGAGTTTAGGAGAATTAGGGGAGAGGTATAATGATCAATTCAACATAAAAAGGTAAACATAACGAAATATTTCTTTTTATTTATTGGCCAACTATCTATCGGCAAAGTGACAAAAAGTGCTAGGCGGCCTAAACGTTGGACTCAATACCTAGAGCCTAGGTGCCTAAGTGGAAGCCTAGATGGGGCCTAGGTGTTTTTCTATTTTTTTAATTTTTAATTATGATTACTAATAATAAATGCTAATGTTATAGAAAACTTACACGCTGTACTACAACTAGGCAGATTTCTTAAATGGTGGCGGATGATGTTTTGTTGAAGGTCGAGAGATGTAAAGGTATTTCATAGTTGGTGTTGGGAAGAGGTTGGAGGATGTTTAGGTTGTAATGAAGAAAATCATGATCAATGCCTAAATGGTGCAAACTAATCTTCATTAGGAGCTCCTAAAATCTAGGTGCGCAGTCTAGAAACCGTCTAGGCACTAGGCGCTAGATAGACGGTCAATGTACCATACCGTCTACACCTTACGCCTAGGCGGGTTAGACAAAGGCTTTTTAAAACATTTGACTATAGGTCTACTTTTAACTTACTAATGTAATCTGGAAGAGGTAGTAGCTATTATGAGGATTCGATGAAGTTATATCACAATATGGATGATATCAGGGAGGAATAATATCTAAAAACCCCTGCAGCTTTAAAAGTTTCGTAAATGCTACTATTGGTGCCAACTGCAGACTGTAAACGCAAAATCATCGAAAGGCGCAAGTAATGGGCTGTTTGGTTCCCTGTTTTTGAGGGAAATGTTTTCTTGAAAGCCAGCCAAAAGTGTCAAAAGTATCACTTTTTGGCAGGCTTTCAGCCAAAATCTTCTTTTTTAGAGGCGATTTGGGCTGAAAGACTGCCAAAAAGTGACATTTTGGCACTTTTAGCAGGCTTTTAAGAAAGTCTTTCCCTTAAAAATAGGAACCAAACAGCCCCTAAACAGTGCTAGAGTAATGTCGTTGGGGGGCTAGTTTCAATTTAACCAAGCATGATGAGGTTAAATGCAAATTGACTCTTTTCCCCTATCCGAGTATGGACCCTTCTCCGGCGTTAATTCCGTACAGTACAGTTCTCCTGTTCCCAGATTTTATTTATAAAATTGAAGAATTAGCAATTACTTGCGGTTTTAGGAGTATATGTCAATCGTGGTTTCTTCGAATCGTTCCTCGAGAGCAATTGCGCTGTGAGATTGGCGATCTTCGACTTAGGTCCTTCTCCTAACTTTTCATTTCCTTTATTTGTATTGAATTTTTTGATAGCACTAAGCTCAAAATCAAGTTTCCTCGTTCTAGGATCATGATTATATTATAACTGAGATTGCACGTCAGGTGTATGACGTTATTCCTAAACGAGAGCCTTTGAGTTGCTTATTATAACGTAAAAATTGCCATGAAATTGCTGAGTTCAGGAACTTCGCTCTTATTACTGAAGCCCCTTCCACTACCCCAAAACTCAAGAATTGTGTTGAGGACTGAAGTTATAGTTTTATTTGCGTGTCACAGGCCAAAAACTTGGTTGGGAATACTCTTTTCTTCGTAATTGCTTGTTGGTGCAGATTATTTGTTATTCTAGGAATGACTTCAATTGCACTGCTACATGGTTTGAACTCATGTGACTTAAGGAAGTAGGAAATGAATTTTGAGGCAAGGGATTGCTTTTGTATTGAGGTGCGACATAGTGCAAAATGTTTAGTTTATACGAATCCATTCTAATCCGAGGCATGGTTTAAATCCAAGAGCTAAGTGGGAACTTGTTTCTGACGAGCATTTTAAAATATACTAAGACCAATATCTTTGAAATCACATCATCTTTTGATGGATCATATCGGATAGCTCAATGTAAGGATTTCCCGCATTTGACTTGCACATACGTATACCTTATGCATTGATGTCCACATTGCTATCGCTTACTTTTAAGATGATTAAAAACGCATTTAGAACTGTTTAACTTCAAATAGGCCTATATTCCCCATTTTTTCAGGTATGCAGGTGAGGGACAGAGTAGTAAGGGAAATTTTATCTTTTTTTGTCAAGTCATCACTATCTATTCCCTTCCTCTGACTGAAAAACGATAAAATTTTGGTTTTTTTTCACTCTTTGCACCAGTTGTGTACAGTATAGAACAGGACAAGTTCTATAGTGCTAGCTACGTACATTTAGATTTGAATACTTGACAGAAGTTTTTATTTTAACATACAGGCTATAATTTATTTTATTATTTGCTCTTTGGTAAGTAAATCTCCTGTCTCGTTAAGGTGAAGTGGCCCATTTTATATATTTTACAAGTTATAAAAATATATTAACAACACTTTGGCTTGCAGTTGTGCTGTTGCCTTCTGTTCTTCTAGAGAGGAATCCAGCCCTGCCATTCATATGTAAATTAGCGTAAGAATAATTATGGAATATAAACTATGTAAGTCTTTCATTTTACACGCTAGAAGGGTATTGGAATCACCTTGATCAACCCAGCTTCGCTGCCACATAAAACAATATCATTTGCTGTGAGGAGGCTTGTTATCTTGCTACCAACTGATAATCTGCCTAGCTTCTGCTGGTGTTCTCTTAACCAAATCTGCATATGTAATGCTTATATAAGATTGAAAAAGTACAAGATTTGTAGGATAGGAACAACTTAAGAACACTGGACACAAATTGGAAATATTTTAATCACGAGAAAAATGATCACCTGAATTATACTTGGAGATGAACTACAGTTCAGGTAAATGAAGTCCTCAACCACCGCCATTGCCCGCACTTTTGTTCCTCTTGACATTGTTATTGAAAACCGAGGCTTTCTGTGCCTTCTCCATTCCTGAAAACTTACAGAAGTCATACTAGGCTGATTACGTTCTTTGTTTAATAGTGATGGAATCTGATGCATACCTTTATACTTGATCCCTCAACAACCGCACCTGCACAATATAACCAACCTTTATACACAATTGTTGAATTTATTGGTTTGTTTTTCCTTCTCCAGCTGTTTTCTGGTGCCCTTATCTCTATCTTATGGTCCTCAGTTATATCTACTTCCTGTAAAAATTTCAAGGACATTATGACTCCAGAAGTGCACATGTGCATATGTTATGCTTATGACCTCACTGACCTGCATGCTTGAATCTGTAAAACCAATGTAAACCTTCCCCTGAGCTACATCTAAGCTTTTCACGTGTTTGTTTTTGCAAATAATCTGAATTCTTCTTGATGAATCCCAGACCTGAATGAAGTGTTCCCATCAGATATTCATTTCTCTGGATAATGCTAACATAACTTAATATGTGAAGTTTACTATCTAAAAACCGATTGCGAACAATGTGCCGAAAGTGTTCAGAGGACTTGGATCTCTTATATGAAATTTCTACTTGACAAGTTCTCAAAGTTACTTCTTGTACCTTAAGGCCTTTACTTTGTGTGACCACAAAGATTTTTTCACCATAAGAGGCTACTTTTTGAATGGATTCCTTCATGTGTATCACTTCAACACATTCCAATTTTTTGTTCATCATTTTCCACACCTGTAAAAGGAAGAGAGATGCATGAGTTAATAGCATTTTCCTTTAAAAAAAATTGAGCATTATATTGACTTGAATAACACATTTACCCTGATAGTTTTGTCCACGGATCCACTTAAGAGGCTATCCCCTTGGTTTGAAAGTGCAAAGCAAGTCACAGGCCTTTTGTGCTCCTTGACTTCCCACACAAGAATTGTTCTTTGTCCTTTGATGTCCCATACCTGTTTTGAACTTGTAAGTTCCAGAAATTGCAATTTCCACAGGAAGCACAGAATCTAGTTGACTTGTGTTTTGAGAATTTTTAGATTATAAATGACAATTTTAGTCCTGGTTGATGCTTTGTGACTAGAAATTAATTAACTTGATAGTTTGTGAAAGGGACCTATATGTATTAGGAAAATGCAGTATATCTTGAACAAAATTTCTTTCAGTTGTCAACGCTATGACAAATATGTCTTTCATACATCCATACCTTAATTGAACCATCAGAGTATCCAGCATGGAGCTGCCCCTTGTAGAAGATGAGCGCAGTTACAGCTCCATTACCACTTTGACCTATCTCCAGACTTTGTGTGTGTACACATGACACGCGCTGCACATTCCATAATTGCATAGTAGAAGTTAGAGGCTTCTCACTTTAAACTTATATTTAAATCAATACAAAGGAGTATATAGATTATTAGTCGTTATCAGATACAGCTGAGCCCCACACATTCTGCAAGGAAGTATGTAACTTTATGGCTTCTGTTATGAGACGAAACATAATCCTTTCACCTACTGCAGTTTGATCTAAATATAACAGAGTAAAATGCTAAGGTCATTATCTAAGCAAGAGAAATTGGAGTGGTTCTCCTTGGTTTCATGAGCTTAACTTACGTGATAATTGAGCTAGATTTTCCTGTGCTTCCCTCCCTGGCAGTTTGTACAATTTTTTAGGTCAAAATGAACCATCTACATTAAGATATATCTATATTTATACAGTATTAGCGCGGTGCATGTTAAATTTGTTATTTCATATGAAAAAACTACTGCAAATAAGGACTATGTCAATTATCAAATAGCAACAATAATGGTTGTGTGTTTTACGAAGTCCAGCATCTAAATTACAACCTTGAGATGTGGCTAAAGCCTGGAAGTAGTTAAAAATTTTAGTCACTAAAATAATCACTATAGAAATTTTTTACATTGAAATATATTCTTTTTCAGATTTATTAAGAAATTGAATTGAAGGGGAATAATTAAATAGTTTAATGAAAAACTGACCGGTTGGTTGGGAAGGAAAAACTCTGTTACATTTAGTAATTCCTCAGCCATCCAAGTGACACCAGAAAGGCGTCTAAGTGATTCTCGTAAACCCTCTGAAAAGTTCAGTAATTTCTGCTTGGCTGCATAAAAATTTTAAGAAATTGAGTGAAGTATGTGATTATAGAAACATACAAATCTCAAGAAAGTAATTTTGGCTTTATAGTGCATACCTTATGCTGTAACAAATAGACTTTGATGTTTTTATTTTTTTATTTTTATTTTTTATTATGCTTGCTTGTTGGGTGGACTGTAAAAGCTATGGCTACTTCTGTCCCTAGTCCTTATTACCTGTTTCATTGTGTGTTTCAGTTTTCACTTTTCAGATCACTGCTGTTTATATATTTATAATTTATAATTTATTATGACATAATTTTGAAGCCTGAAGCTATATCTTTATTCATCCACCGTGATTATGTGGGCTTTATTCTGGAGAGTTGATTGTGTATGTTCCATGCATCTAGAGTAATCAGAAAGAATGCACTAGCCTTTGTGCCTTGAATCGACCAAAGAGGAACACTGAATAACAAATTTCGAGGGTATGTCATCTCAGCAGATACGGTAGAGGAGATGGGAGCATCTTCTTGGAATGAAGATCTTATGCTAGTTCTACTCCAAGATACAAATAGAATATTCACTGATATCATTTGGCATGACTTCTGTTTCCTATAAAATAATTCTGTTTCTTATAAAATAATATGCATGAAGACTTTCAACCATCAGCATTACCTTTCCCAGAAGTGTAATTGTACACGCACAAACATGCTAGCACTCTCTCCTCAAGCTCTGAACCTGGATGGAGAAATGATGCTACTTCATTCAACAAAATTTCACAAGCAGAATATCTGAGGTTACTTTGACCAATAAGTGCCATTTCATTTCCAAGCCATGCAATAGCTATGAGACATTCACGTTGAACACTCTTTGTATTGCTTCGAATTCCCTTTCCTAGAGAATTGAAGACAGAAGTCCCAAATTTGATCACTGCTCTTGCAACCTTCGAACTCCATGCACAGATTTCAGAATCCTACAGCAGTTTGAGGTAATATCGAATCAAAACCTGCACTACTGACAGAATATGATTACAATGCTTGATTATCACCTGTAAACAAGGGTCAAACCAGTCAATATTTCTGAACATATTCTTGTGATGTGCAGACGTCAACCCCGTTTTCTTTGCTAACCAAGCAGCAGTATATGATTCTCCTGTCCAAGAATATGTTCCTCCAACATTTGAAAGAATTAATGCTGATAGTAACTGTGCGTTGGAGTTATCTTCACAAGTGACTGTTTCTAATAGGACCTGCATTGCCTCTTCTCTGAACCTTCTCTTAGAATTTGATCCTACCTGAAAGAGTATTACATCAAACTTGTAATTTTTTTTCACGCATCATTATTTGCTAAAATTATAAAATACTACTATTTGATGCATGCTATCTTTCCAAATTGTATTTGCTATGATATGTAGGATACTTGAAATATGATGACACGACTTACAGATCCATCTTTGTCTGAACTTATAGGTTCACAAATACCTAAGAAATATAAGGTGGGGTATACTCATGCTTCTCTTGACAAAAGTTCATAACTCTGTGATATATACGTATGTAACCTTGTCGTCGTGTTTGGTATTTTGGACATTGCCATGCCCGACATCTGTGCTAGTGTTGAAGCGTGTTCACAAGTATGAATGTCTACTAATCATAAGCTTTTTTTTCCACAAGAGGAATGTCTACTAATCATAAGCTTTTTTTTCCACAAGAGTTCTCACTCTCTTATAGTCATCATGCTTATTACTGATCTACAAACCGAGGGATCTGTAGACAAATTCGGTATGTTGAATCTAAGTGGTATCAGCTTATAAAGTATACATACGTTAGATCTAGAAGTATGCAAATACATCCATCATCTTTGGTCGCTAAGTCACTGATCAACATACCTTTTCTGAAAATTTCACTTAAAAGCCTTCAGTCTTAACTTGTCGACATGGTGTCACCAATTTCAAGCAGAAGGTCTTTATTATTCTTCAATTGTATAGAAAGGAGATAACCCCCATGTCTCAGTATCTATATCATGAATCATGCCCATAACCTAAAAGGTCATTTATGTTACCTCAAAAAAAATTTCTTTTAACCTTTTCTTTCTTTTAGGTTATCCATGAAAAGGAGGTAGCATTCTCTCAATCTAATGTACGCGATTATGAATCTGAGTTCAGAATGGATTAATGAGTGTACCAGAATGTCCAGATGAAACAGAAGATTTGCTGCCAAAATTCGATGCTTGAGTTCAGCTTGTTGCACACAGTTCATTAACGTATGCATTATACTGGCCCCTCCCTGCTGTCGTATCCGATGGAGCAGATGAATGGCTGATGACCTGGTACATGTGCAAGCTGGAACTTTAGAAGATAACTTAAAGTTGATGTAAATGACATATTATCCTTCCATGAATAACTGATTTTTTTTGTTATTGTTCTTAATGACCACAGGGCATTACTGAAACTGTCAAAATATTAAATGAATAGAAATTAAAATGCAATTTTTTTCCTTGACAGTTTATTGTCTAAGCCACTTCATCTACTTGTTTAACTTATGCTCATTTTTCAATTTTAAACCATAAGTTTCAATTTTTGTTAAGACGAAAAAAATTGGCCAGTTGTCAACATGAACATGTGTAAAAATATCATACCTTGGAATACGAAGAATCTCATGAAAATATTCGAGTGCTGCTGATTTGGCACGGCTTTCATTACTTCTTAAAAGATGGAGGAAAGGGTCAACAGGAGTAATTTGAGATAAAAACTTCTTGCAGTTCCCATTGAGACGCATACACCTCACAAAAATAGCTGTCAAGGCTGTCCCTTCTTCCAAGTTTTTGTTCATTGCAACATTTACAAATTTGGAGAGAATCTTAGGAGAACTAATAGCTGCCAAGTGTATGTTATTCGTGACATAATCAAATGAAGTTACTAGAATTTCAATCATAGCTATTGATGCTGCCGTAGGTGTCAAAGGAAGTGAGATTGATTCCTTTTTTTGACTATTTGAGTTGCAAGCAACCTCCACCAGAGCTGGTAAAAGTTCCAAACTTTTTATCTCAGAAGGTGATGGATTCAACATGTATATAACAATAGCAGCCTCATGTACATTTTTCTTTAATGCACTGGCTAGGTAATACAGATGCAAATCTTTTCTTTTGATTCCCTCTACTATAGTTTTGTCTTCTGATATTAGAACAGACATTATAGACACTGAAGCCCTTATAACTTTCTCTTTTCTGGAAGTTGAAATCATGGTCATCAGTTGGTCAAAGATTTCTTGCTTCACTGAACTATATTTCACTTCGGTTTTATTGTTCAGCAATTCCCATAGAGTTCTAACCTCTAAATCACCATCCGTTCCACATCCTGTACCATCTGTGATGCATAGGCTTGAAACTGCCTTCTCAAACTTACCCAAAAGTTCAATTTGCGATTCTTTTTCGTAAGTAGAACTTTCGTCGCTCCAGTCTTTATCATTGCTTGAAACATTTATTCTTTTCCTTGCAAAATTTCCGTGGTGAACTAGTTCATGTAGGCTGTGTTTTTTCCGAAACTTAGATGAGAAACTTCGGAAACATCTGATTTCATGTGTTGATGGTTTTCCAGGCGAGATTTCTTCTTCTATGTAGTATCTTGAGGAGGCGTTTGATTCCATTCCCTTTAGATCCAAAATTGAGAAATTTAAGTTGCTGACTGTACTATAAGATCTGCTAGGTAATAGGCAGCTAGTATTTGCTTTGCAGTTCTGTGCTTGCATTGGCCATCTAGATGTATCTGAAACTGTGTTTTCAGGTAAATATTTCCTGTAACAATAAACTGTTTGAGAGTAAGAAAACTATAGAGGTCATCATCATTTTATACCACATTGATTTATTGGACTACTATCTGTTGACATTTAACTTTTGATAACTCAAAAACATACCTTTCACCAATATTGGATGTTAAAATATCTTCATTTTCTTGCAAAGCCTTTGCTGCGATCTCCTTTTCTTGATGTACTTTAGCCTGGTACGAGAGAACTGTTAAACATAAAGCAAAAAGTTCTGCCTCTCTCTCTCTCAAAAACTTTTTAGGTGAAATACTCAAATTGATTTTTTGAAACTTGAAAGTGAGTTAATCTACTTATTATTAGTTTAAATATTAAGTATAGTGATCTTCAGGGTAAAGATTTAATCTTATAAACAACTCCCTGCACGTTCTACATCATAGTTATTGTTTTGTAAATCATATTTTTAAGATGATGAGAAGATGAATCAAATGCCTTATCATAAATCTGTTCTGTCATTCCAGGAGAAATTTTGGAGGTCAGACTGTCTAACCTATATCTCTATGATTTCATCTAATTCCATTGAATCTGCAGGAACTAACACAAGCATGGAGCTTATGATCTTATACTATGCGAGTCTCTGGCCCCAATATGTTTGTTGTTTTACCTCTGAATCTTCAGAATCAGTCTGGGAATCTGACTGGGAGTCCTCTAGCATATCTTGGAGGCATCTGATATCGAAGCTCTCATTGATTTCTGGATCAAATTCCTCATCCAAGTATGTAAGCAAAGCTTTTCCATCCCTTGGTTCGGCAGAGTTTTCATATTCCTCTGGACTGGGGGCAGGGACCTTTGTCTTCTCTCTCTTGACATTATCTTGATTTTCAAGTGTGGTAACCATTTTATCCTGGTAAATGTTACAGAAATAATGAATTCGAGCCAGCATTGTAGGTTAATAAACTGTTTGGCGATCATAAGTATATTAATAAACTGTGGCATAACTATATCAAATAAAGACAATCAAGCATGATGCATGCATTTATTTCCTTTCTCATTCTCTTTAGATGGCATACGGAGAATTTATATCAAATTGTTACTCTTACAGGCTCAGTAAAGAGATAAGATGTTAACTTTCCAAGGTCAACAGCATTCTTTTTTTTTTTTTTGGGTCCAAAAATTCAACAACATTCTTCTATAACTGTCACTTGGTTTCAGAAGAGCAAAACATGATGCTCATGGCCTTCATGGGTCTAATTTCTTTTGCTTCAAAACTTTCATCGCCTTAAAATGAACTTCGATTATAAGAATGTCTAAAACTCCTACTTTAAACTATTCTCAATGACTTTGTAAGATTACATTTCTGGAATCACCGTTCTCCTGAATTTGATGCTGTTCTATTTTCCAAGGTTGAAGAATAGACATTATAAATAATACATGCATTTTACATATGAACATAAAATTTACTTCTTGATATGAACCTGAAGTCCTAAGCTACTCTTCATATGATTTATATAGAGTTCAGAGATCAGCAGTATATTTGCCAAGAGATACCTACGTCCTGAAGTATTGTCCACTTAAGTTCTCGCGCGACTGTTCCCAAACGCCTGCGACTTCTGAAATTTCTATACCTGCACAAGAACGTTAGCCGAGGATGAAAATTTCCCTGAATGGTAAGTTTCTATAAGGTCCTAACTCTTTTCGTTTCAAAACAATATACGCAAGTTTTCTAAAAAGAGATACCAAGATGGCATTGCTTGTACTTGGCTATCTTGTTACAGTAGATACCAATTATGGTCATTCAGCGGCTTTATGGTTGATGAAAGAATTAAAATATACCCCCCCACCCCCACCCCCACCCCCCCCCCGGGCCCTTCCTTTTTCGGAGGAATTTGAAAATATATATGTTGCTTGCTTTCTGCCCATTAGAATGTCATAACTCCAATAGGCTTTTAAATTTGGCAGTACTTGTAAAAGCTCTGAGAAAAGGTGACCCTTTCCAGAGAAAAAGCAGAAAACAATCTTCCCTTTCCCTAACAACTAATGATCTAAAAGCTGACAATTTGAAAAATGGCTGTTACTTTCATCTTTTTTCAAGCACGCCATGAACTGGTCCTATAGAATCGACTTGTATCATTGAAGCAAAAAGTCAGCATTCATTTTAACAAAATAGATAGGGTTAAGTGCGGATGGGCTCCATGTATTTTCGCCAAATTGAACTTTCTACCCAAATTGTAGTTCTGTTGCTGCAGATGGTCAAAAAAGTTTCATTCAGGGGGTAGAACCACAGGGTAGTAAGTTAAAATTTAGCGACAGAACAGGGGTTCTATCCGCAATTAACTCAGAAAGATGTGCTACTTACTGACTATTCATCATTCCCTCTTCGTTCCACGGAGGTGCTTCCCCATATGAGACCACCTGATAATACATTAACCAATCCTTATACCTCCTCGCCTTTTGCCTCGCCTTTTCATCAGTCACCATTGGTCGAAACATGCTCCTCCACAGCTCGGGTGCAAATTCCAATCTAACAGTACTTGGCGAAGCGAGCACACACTGTAAAAAGTGTGTTGTCATCTGCCACTCATCCCCTCTAAGCTTCCTAACCAAGCAAAGATAAAAATACGTGCAACAAACTATGTACTCATTCCCAACGCCAAGGGTACTCCCATCTTCGTCCAACTGCGCGGGTATCTGCAGCATCTTCTCAGAGCTTTGAAGGTGGGGGGCCCTGTCTTCGGGTTTCTTTGCCTGTACCGCGAGCTCGAGGCTCTTGATTCCCCAGTAGAGGTTCGAGAGGACCGAGTGGTCGGAGAATTCGAATGAGGTGGCGGCTTCGGCGGTGATGCCTGCGGTGCATTGGAGGTGGAGGGATTTTCGAGCGAGGGGGTCGGAGAGGAACTGTTGGATGTGGTGGTTGACAGTGGAGATGAGGTTGAGGATTGAGTTTAGACGTGGTCTCCGTTTGAGGTGAGAAGAGGTGGAGGGGGGAGTAGCGGAGAGGGAGGCCATTGGAAATGCTTGTTAGGAACAGGAGAATGCTGGGGAGGAGATAAGGGGAGTGTTTCTAGTTGGAGAGGGAGGAATAGGAGTTGAGGTGAGATGGAACGTTCGTTTGGCTCGTGACAGCAAAGACAAAATGTGGGGATGAGTAGGGACAGAGAGGAAAGCGGAGGAGAGGGGGGGGGAGTAGAGTGAGAAGAGTGTGAAGAAAAAACGAGGTATTTGCTTGGCTCAGAGCTTGTTTTTTTTTTCCTCCCCCCTGCAAGGGGGAGGAGACAGGTGTACTCTTCGTTCTTCCTTTGATGATGCAAGCATTACTAGGGATCTATGGGACTTGAGCCTTTTTTTATTATTATTACCGTTTTTTGCTGTGGGTAAATTTGGATGAGATTTACCTCTGTTTTTTTTTAAGAGACTTCCAAAGTCTCTACTATTATTATCCTGTAAAGTTTTGGGGGTTATTATTGAAAATTGTAACCGTAATGGTCTGGAGAGATTGATCATACAGCTTAAGGGGTTATTTTGAATTAGGAAATTAACAATTTTCTTATGAGAAAGAGCGAAAAAGGAATAAATTACTACTCATTGACTCTCAATCATGCTTCTGAAATTTCTATGCGTTAGTTTTGCATTTTAGTTGGTCGTACGCTTCACAGCTCAAATCAATTGTTAGTAAAGTTGGCTCTAACAACAGAAAAGAAGCATCGGGGGCAAAAGGAAGTTGGTATTTTTTTGAACGTAAACTACGATATGAAAATTATTGAGTGAATGGGCTGATATAAATTATAGGTAATTACACTAAACCCTTCCAATAAATTGCAGCGTTTTGTAGTAAGCTCCTAATAACTTTTAAAATCGCACTAGACCCCTAATAACTTTTGTAGAAAACCTCCACTATCTTTTTGGATAAATTGCACATGCCTCTTTTGTTTTTTCTTTTGCTCGAATTTATTGGGGTTATCTGCAAAATCCGGAAATTATTATTATTATTATTATTACTTTTTTTTGGGGGGATTGTTATCCAAAGACATTGGAGGTTCCTTGCAATTTTAAAGTTTTTGGGTGTTTACTGAGAAATGCTGAAAGTTCTTGGGGGTTAGTGTAATTTTACCTACATTATACAAGCGTTTTATGTCAATTTCAATAGAACCGATATGTTTTCTTTTCGTTTCCGTAAAATATGAAGTTTTTAAAGCAAAATCTTGACGATAAGGGAGGTCTTCTGCAGTTCACGCATATATAATTGTAAATGTAATCAAAGTGATTTTTAAATCGGTTTGCATAAATTTGAATGTTAGCGCAGGAACCAAACTATAACTTACGAGGTGAAATTATTTTCTGCTTTACCCCTCCCCCTTCTTAAAATTGTACATCAATCTCCACGCTCAAAATATCCATGAGATCGATTAGCGCTTGAAATTTTCTCTCTCTTATCCATGAATTAGAGGCCTAGAGTCCAAGATTCCTCTCTACTCCACACTGAAACAAAGTGCACGGGCTTCACACAGCTGTGTCACATGCCAGAGCCACGGCAATAATTGAAGACGTACAAATACATAAGTAGGAACGAGGCAAAATAATTCATTCTTATAGATCATCCATTATAATTAAATAAAACACAAAACACAAGATCACAGCCTACAAACATAATTCTAAGACAACTGCAAAAGACATTGTTATGAAATTAATTACAGTTGCAATTTGTTACAATTGTTGATGTAACTGTAGATTTACTTCTTGTATGATACAGGATTAATCACTTTGTAATCGAAACGGAGTAGATTAATCACCTTGTTATCGAAACGGAGTTATGGTCTTTATCTATATATGTGCTACATAGGATGCATGTAAGACAACTGCAAAAGACATTGTTATGAAATTACAGTTGCAATTTGTTACAATTGTTGATGTAAGTGTAGATTTACTTCTTGTATGATATAGGATTAATCACTTTGTAATCGAAACGGAGTAGATTAATCACCTTGTTATCAAAACAGAGTTATGGTCTTTATCTATATATGTGCTACATAGGATGCATGTATTTAATACCTATAAGAGAAATAGGAGTCTCTTTGCAACACATTGACATAAAGATCAGAATCTAACACTTGTTGATATTGTCTTTATTGTCGTTGTTAAGAGAAATTGGAACACAGCTCAACATTTTTGTACTTTCCTAATTTATGTGTTGGAATCGGTCTTAAGCAACTCAAGTTTTAATAACCACGACCATCTCAAGCATTTTTGAGGTTCTAGGCAGAGAAAAATATTTGGGGCCTTAATATTTAAAAAATAATAATTAAGTATTAGTTTTTAAAAAATAGATTTTATATAAAATTTAATTTTCTTTCTTTTTGAGATGCAAAGTTACTAATTAAATTTTTATATTCAAGCTTTGATAATAAATCCTTTTCAATTGATAAAATTGCCAAATTATTTAATCTTTCTTGAGACATTGTTGAGCGTAAATAAGATTTTATTAATTTTAATTTTGAAAAACCTCTTTCTACTGAAGCTGTACTAACAGGTATTGTCAATAGTATTCTATAAGCTATCCATGTATAGGGAAAATAATTTAATTTTTTATAAGGTTTAGTATCTCAAGTGCTGTTTTTAATTCAAGATTTATTATTTCTTTTAAAACTTTTAGTTCTGAAAATAAATCTAAACCATCAATATTAGATAATATGTCATGCTTTAAAAAGTTTTCAAGATGCAAACATTTTTCTTTTAGAAAATCATCATCAAGCAATTTTAATTTTTCTACATCATACAAAAAATCAAAATTATCTTCATATATCTTAAACTGTCCAAAGCTAATTTGAAGTGAAGAAATGACATGATCAACTATATAGTTGAAAAAAATTAATTTTAAAAGATTCTTCAGGCGAAAGTCTCACCTCATTAGTTTCATTCTCATCAAAAATTTTCTTTCTTCTAATTACACGATTTTCACGAAATTTTGGTTCTACATTTATTTCATTGGCAATCTCTTTAGCACAAATCATAGCAGATTTGAACCCATTTTCTCTATAGTCATTAAAAAAATAAAACAAGACCTTTTAGCTGATCTAATGCAAAGGCAATGTTCATATCTTTATATTGTAAAAATTTACTAACAGTGTTAACTGCAAACAATATATCATATTAAATAATCATACCTAATAAAAATTTAAAATTTTCAATCTCATTTGTTGCTAAAGAAATTGCTTCACTTTTTGTTTTAGGATCATCACTAGCTTCTGCTAGTTGATATAAAGCATCTCTTATTTGTGGAGCTTGATTTTTTTATTGCTTTAACACTTTCAAAACAACTTTCCCAATGTGTTTGTGACAATGGTTTAAGAGTTAAATTAGAAACATGGTATTGCAAAATTTTCCATCTTTTTATAGAAGAAGAAAATAATACGTTGCGTCACACCAAAAAATGTTATAACACTAGGACAAGAATTAGCTATACCACAAAGCACTAAATTAAGACTATGATAATCACATGGTGTATAAAAAACTCTAGAATTTATATCTAACAATTAAAAGCACCATAATGCCACTAGAAAAGAACCTTAGAGGGGGGTGAATATGGTTTATGCTAATCTAATCCGATTTAATATCAAATAAAAACTAATTAATAAATATCCTACCAAATATGATATAAGCAAGATATGTGAAAGGATATTAAACTAAACAAGGGTAATATAAATATAGACAATATAGTGGATGAAACAAACAATGAGAGAATGACAATAAAGATGAACACAAGTATAAGTGTGCCAAGCCAAACTCAAACAAACAATATGATCACAGAGTTCGGACCTTCCGGCATACGTCTTCGCTCCCCACTCCCGTGAAAAAATCCACAATCACACCATGTTTTCAACGCTCACCCGAAAATGTTTACAACGACACACTCGATTTTCTAGCTCACTGAAAACTTTATAACACTCACAATGTAACTACACTAACTACCACCTTAAGTGTTGGTCTCTAGCCCGTATCCTTCATCAAGTGCTCAGATTTACTACATCTCTCTAGACTTTACTATCGACGCCACTCTTCTTGGAACCGACCCTGTCTCTCACCATACACTCCTCTTGGTGTACTAGTGTAATACAAAGTGAACCTCACAATAATAGCTCAATACAAGTGTTTGTTCTCTACTATGGATAAGAACACAATGAAAGCTCACTCTCAATATCACAAATCCTACAACCCAAATTATACTATGTATGAAATACTATAAGCTCAATGTTGGTGTGTGTAACAATGAGAATAAAATCAAAACTAAACTCAAATAAATTCTAGTTTATGAAAATGAAAATTAAACATATAAATAGCTAGATAAGAGTTTAGAAAAACTTCTCTAGATGACAAGAGAGAGAGAGAGAGGGGGGGGGGGGGGGGGGAATTTT